GGCTGTCCAAGGACTCACTGAAAAGCCCGGCCAACACCTGCCTCATCCCAGCAGTGCCCCCAGGCAGGCTTGTGCTCAAATTCCCCCTTGCAGTCACAGGTAAACGCATTGAATTTGCCTCCTGGTCTCTTCAGCATGCCCCAAATGCACAGTGAAACCCTGGGCTGCTCCTTGCTTTTTTTCCAGCTGCCGGCTACTGGGGCAGAGGTGGCTCAGGGTCACGACCATCCGACCACTGCCCAGAGGCCTGTGGGGAACCAGAGTTTCTGTCCTGTCTTTCTGGTGCAGGTGTACGCACCTCTCACTGAGCCTACTGCCAGTTTCGGGTGCCCGGGACTCTGCAGGCTGCAGGGCCAGCTTTTGCTTGCTCCTGACAATGTTTGCTGCCCAACTCAGCAGAGAGGAATGGGGTAAGGAGAAACGGGGGGAAATTTAGCTCTTCCTTAGCTGGACGAGCAGAGCTTCAAAGCCTCCTTGGCTGCTGTCTGGCAGCTTTCCTTGGCATGAAACTCAGGGAGTTCACACACCAGCTATCTTAGTGATTTAATCCTGAGAGCACCTTCCTGCACAAAGTGGTGGATTTCCCATCACTTGGGGCTTTAAATGGGGCCTGGACAACACTTTTTAACAGATCTGCAGATGCTATGGGCTGGGTGCAGGAATCCCTGAGTGCAGATTTCTGGCCCACAGGGAATACGTCAGAGCAGGGGATTTGGTGATGATCTTTCTAGTCTGATAGCCTGGAAAAGTGATCTGCCCTGGAAAAGGAGCGGCAAGCCTTTGAAGTGGCGTAGCTTCAGGCTGCTAGTGAAGGGCTGTTGTGTCTGCCCAGAAGGGCTCCTTTTGTTCTATGACTCGAGCTCCTTTTGTTCCGTGACTTGATCCTTCCTGTGCTCACTGGGGGCTTTCCCAGTTCTACCTTTCCCAGAAGATTCACCGAGCCAAATTCCCACCAGCCTGCACCTTTACAGCATGACCTACCCACAGCTTGGCAGGGCGTGGAAGTGCAGCTGCAGGCCCTTCACTTCTTGGATGTGCGCTCTGTTTGGGACAGGGTGTGTGTAGCAAGACTGAAGAAATAGAGTGGAAGAAACATGGAGTTCCCTGTGCTCCCCCTGCTTTCCCTGTGGCAGGTTCTGTTGTGTGGTGGTGTCAGGGTTGATGGTTGTTTTACTAAGAGGTTAGATATGGGGCAGGCAATAATTTGGGCTGGAGGGCCAGTTAAGGAGTTTGGGCAGGCTGTGGGGGGAGAGGGTTCCTGACCTAGCTTGGCATATGGGGGTGGGGAGGCAATTGATCCTACCCAGGCCTGCCCACTGCCACACTTGGCCCTGCTGGTGCTGGACGGAGCAGGTGGGCCCTCCAAGGGCAAGGCACGCTCACCTGGGTGGATGGGATGGGGGCTGCAGGTGGGCAGAGAGTGGTGTCTGGGCGTGGGATGGGTAGGTGGGGCTGCTGGGAAGTTGAGTCCGGCTGCCACACCAACCCCACATTGCCATGCACCCGGGGGCAGTGGGGAAGCTGATTGGCTGTTGGGAGATCATGTGCTTTCTGCACAGGCCCTGGCAGCTGCTGGAAGGTGTGTGTGTGTGCGCGCACATGCAAGCAAGCTGCTTGGGCAGCAAGTCTGGGAGGGAGCAGGGTCTGCCGGTCAGAAGTGTGGGGCACCAGCAGTGCTGGGAGGCAGGGGGTTGTAGGTCAGGAATGAGGGGCACTGGCAGGACTAGGAAGACAGGGGCTGTGGGCCAGGATGAGGGGCACTGGCAGATCTAGGAGGA